GAGTATGCAAAGAGAAAAATTTGCACAATACTTAAGCAAAAAAGTGCTTTTATTCATAGAAAAAGTAGTAAAGATACAAAAGTATGGAAAAGAAAACAAAACAAAAGCTAAGCTACTAAATATCCAGGACTCGTAGGAAGAGAAGCATCTGCGCCCCGGGAGAAATGGATGGAACCGTCACCAGCTCGTCATTTTGGCCTTCGGCATCATCACCTTCCATTTCTTCTTCAATTCCCGAGAACTCAGAACCAGAACAAGAAGAATGGGTAGTATCGGTCCGGGACGGAAGACCCCTTTTTGCAGCTAACTCTGGCTTATAGGCCTTATCAATTTCGACATCAAAATCAATGACACCTGATTTGGCCTCTTCCAAAGTTTTTCTCTCATGCTGTATAGAGCATATATTTTTTCAATAATGAGGAAAGTCGATCGGCACTAAAGCTCTTCTTTAAGGTGGATGACCTCAGCAGAAAGGTTCTCCCACGTAGATATAACGGATCAGAGGCTAATATCGAGGTCACGGACAATAGAGCTGAAAATTCTATTATACTCAATGGTCCTCTTATGATTCTCCTCCAATTGGGCATATTTCGCCCCGACAACAACAAGTTCTTTAGCTTTGGAGTTTAAGGCCACCTCCAAATTATTCAATCTTTTAGCGGAGGCAGCCTCGCAATCGGATGCAACAAGAAAGATACTATGGACTTCAGCTCATTTGCCCCTAGCCTCTTCAAATTGAATCCTCAATGGGGCGATCTCTTGGCTAAGGGTCTCTACTTCTTGCTCGCTTTGTTGTAACTGAGCCTCCAACACAATGACCTCAACAACTTTAGCTTCTAGTTCTGAGAGGCGAGCAACAGTTTGGTCCCGCTCGGAGGTAAGTTCCTCCTTATCTCGAATCAACCTTTGGAGGCCCTCGAAAGCAAGGAAATTGGCATGTGAACAAAAAAGGCAAACTCAAAATACAACTATATCAAAGATAGAAGAGATAACGAAGGAAACGAAGAATATATTGTTACGACGTTATGCATAGCATTGTTCAACAAACACTCTCCTGAGAGAGCTTGTATATTTTCCCTATCTTTTTCTGAAGCCAAAGGCTTCAGATAGTTAGCAAGTTCCACCGACCGGGACAACAAATTGCATCCAGTGGAGACTGAGAGAGTAACGCTCCTCCTCCTTTGCGGACCTTAAGAGGGAGCGACATATTTTTTCCCAAAGTTCTAATAAACTGGGGACTGGGGAAAGGAACATCCATTTTCGGACAGATGCGGCCAGTGGAGATGATGTAGTAGTTGTTGGTAGTAGAGGAGGAGTTGGTGAAGAATGAGATAAAGCTGATGGCGTTGAAGGATGAGAAGTGGTTGCGGAAAATGCAATGCTGGTTGTTAATTTCTCGTCAACCGAAGACGGTAGGGACCCAGTACTCAGCCTTATGGTACCAGTCACAACGACTAGGATCCAAAAATGGGAGTTGGCATTTTACACCATCTCAAACTCCCCCTAAAGTGCCTAGGCATCATCCTCGGTGGTGTAAATAACTCAATAGATTGAGTAGTATGTTGAGTTGATGAAGGTGTCTTTTATGTAGATAAGCCCCCTCCTCGTTTGCTTCTCCATCTTCATCAATCATCATGATGTCAATGGTCGTCCTGGGCGGGGGGCTTATCACCACAACTTCCGGAGACGACTCGGGGGCGACATTATTTGCCCTCTTATTTTTTTTCTCGGTCGCGGAGGAACGTCTTCTCTTTTGTTGTTTGTTGTACGATCGGGGACTCCGAGAAGAAGCACTTGCACTAGAAGCAGGCCCAGAGACACCTGTTTGGGTAATATCTTCCTATAGCAGCCTCGCTACAACAGCAGGACTAGCCAAAATATCCTCCTCAAGGACGACAACTGAACCCTAGGGCAGACCTGAATTAAACAAAACAGAAAGGTTAATCAATTTTCTTACACGAAAAGTAAAGACGAGATGAGTCTAGTTTACTATGACTTTTGTCCTTCCACCCGTATTTAAGGGCCAGTTTTTTCCACGTGCGGGTCTCGGGCGTAGTGACGTCCAAGATTTTCTAAAACCACTGGTCCAAGCCTTCAACCCTAAGTGGTACCCATCGAGTTGCTGAAACAGGCGAAAGAAGAAGGGTCAACAATGATATGATATGATCTTTAATCAAAGAAAATATAAAAAGGAACTTACGAGTGCGGTTTCATAGTTCCAAAAAGGATGAGGTCGTGGCCAGAATGATGTCGCTGGTGGCGACTGCAACAAACCATTCCATCCACCCACGGTCGTTGTCATCATCCATACTAGATAGCAAAGTATGGTGGCCACGCTTGCTGAAATTTACCATTCCCCCATGGAAGATATTAGGGGAGTAAAGGTTCATCAATCGAGCGAGGGATAGCTCCTCTCCCATATCCTGGAACAAACTCTGAAGACATGCAATTGTCCTCCACACAGAAGGACTTACTTAAGCCAACCATACCTGGTAGCGGATGCAAAACTCCATGATGACGGAGTCGAGCTCTCCACTCAAAGAGAATGGCCACAAAGTAAAGGGATACGTATAAAATTAAAATACGTAAAACCCTTCTTGGGTAAGGTTATACGCTCTGCCAAGTCGGGAGCAATAATGCCTAAATTTTGGCAATGGCAGTATTCCTTCACAACAGGAATACTGGAAGGACGGATGAAAGAAGGTTATACGCTAACGGCCCATGTACGAGGGTTAGCAGAAGGAAATTTATGTTCGAAGTCTTTATTTGTGACAACACTTCTGGGGATAATGGTGCTCCTCGTAGGAGGAGCAGCCTCGTCGTCTTTACCTTTGTTCTTTGAGGAACTAGGATTTTCAGAAGAATAAGACATTCTTTATTAGAAAAGAAGGAAAAGCTTTTCTCTTAAGAAGAAGGTTAAAGAGAGGTTGAAGACAAAGTACGAATTGAATGAATAGAGTTTGAGAAAGTTTGAAGAACAATGGAGTGTAAATGAAGAAGTTTGATGTGTATAAGTAAAGGAGTATGCGGCTAAAATCGTGATTATAATTACCTCGAAAACTGGCAAAAGTGATGCCGAATCATGGGATGACGCGCGTTCGAGGCATTAAATGTGGAGAGACGTGCGTCTAATCAACCGTCAGAAACTTTTTAGATGGTATCAGATAATTTCCCGCCAAAAAAGGTATCTCTACGAACTTTCCGGTGACATAGAGTTATGCCACCGGAAAGCAAGGGGATTATCTGTGTAGGGTGAAATATATTTATATTAAATGATCGGATGAGGAAGTAACACGTGGAGCCGAAGACAGAAGTTAGTTGAATCTGAAGGCGACAATCCTGAGAAAATGATACTCATAAAGATGAAATAAATGTTTGTCACCTGGTATCATTTAGAGAGGAATATTCTACAGCATTAAATATACGACTCATTACAAAGAATATGGCATTCAATGCCTGTCGTTACACATTCTTCAATGACCCTCATAATTGATATTAAAGAGGGGCTTGATCACAGGACATTGTTCTTTACGTACAACTATAAATAGTAAGCTTTATTATCATTGAAGGGACATGAATTTTCTGAGAAACATACGCTACACTCTATTCAAAGCTTAATATAGTTTTATCTTTTTGTTTACTGATATCGTTGCTATTGTCCTCGGAAGCCCTGTTCCCGGTGTTGTTATTTCTACTATTTTATCTCCATTTCAAAGCTAAGTATTATATTTTTGTCTAATTCATCTATTATCTTTGGATCAAATTAATTCATTTGTCTATAAACCACGTATAAATTCAACTGTACCGTTTTACGGATAAACATATTTCTCTTTTACATGCTCCTTAAGAAAATATTAAATAGGAAAGGTTTTCGACTGTTTTACCATTATTTATGTCTTAAGATATAATCTCTCTTCATTTAATATTTACTCATAATTAAGGTATTTGTTGTCTTCAAAAACAATTAATATCAAGGGTATAATAGGAAAAATAATTAATTTAGTCTTGAACTTTTAAAATGACAAATAATTTGAGACAACAACTTATGGAAACCACGACAGATAATTTGAAACGAAGGGAGTATTAAACAAGTAGTTCATTTGGTTCGATTTTTTTATTTATTTAAATCAAATCAAACCAATATTGCTGACTTTCAAAATTCTAAACCAAAAAAGATATGAATTTTCAAGTCAGTTTGACTCAATTTTCGATTTAAATCAGGTTTTTGTTTTGAATACCCCTGGTTAAAACTATGGTAAGTTACAAAAATTTACTACAGTAACATTTATGAAAAGAATCTTACCAAAGCTAGATTGACTAGAATTCCAAACCTCAACTTTACCCTCACGAGTCACGACGGCAGGGCTCAATCCTAGACCAACGTCAACTACCTCAACATGTCTCCTTTATCACCTCATGAGCCAAAATGCCTCAGTCCAGGCGCAAGCACATCAGTAAGAGCAAAAATTAGGTGTTTATAGTATTTAATATGTCACAATCTTTCCAATTTTAATGAACCTTGAGCAAACTATTGAGCTATGTCAACGTCGGTATTTTCAATTTTCCATTTAAAGCATCGAAATTTGTAGTTTAAAAAAACTTTTGAACATCCCATTTCTTCCCAACTTTTGCTTAGTAACAAATACATTTTTTCAAGTTCTTGCATCTTGGTTGAGTTTAATTTGTTGACTTATCTACTCTTAAGAAGAGATTTCTGATTTAAGAGAATGGCCATACAGTGAAACCAGTTTATATATTATTTCATCCCAGAATAGAGACAAATCGTATTACCTTATCTAGAGGAACTTTAGAGCATAATCCAATCGTGTTTGTTAGTTTTCTTTCGAGGAAATCTTCCACGGGGTTTGCAGTTTGGGACTGTTACAAATCCATCTTTTAGTCCAACTACAAAATTTTATAAGCATGTTAAAGACTATGGAACCATTACTCACCAAGCTACTCAACCAGAAAATAAACAAAAATACTCTTTCTTAACCAGCTACAGAAATATGCTTTATTTGAAATATGTTTATCAGATATATCTTAGACCAGAAGTGTACAGCTTATAAGAATATGCCAAAAGTTAGAAAATAAATTCACATTGCCTGTGATGCAGTCAACCGAACACTTTTTTAAAACCATTCCCACTTTACGCAATCTAGAAACTACTAAAGGGAAATGCTCATCCTATGGCAAGATTTGCTTGCGACATAGCAAAAGTTACTAGTTACCTACAACATTTGGAAAAGGAAAGGGATGTTGATGATACATGTTTATCTAGAGAGATAGCTAAACCAGTGACCAGAATCGGAAGTTGACAGAATAAGATTCTTTTGCTGCAATCTCTTACATTGGCCACACAAAACCACTTTAAACTGATAGGCTCAACCCTGATAGAGATGAATAACAGTTTCTTAGGCACCACATAGGAATTTGATAGATCTCCAGGCAATTAGATCAAACACCTATTCCTGTATACCTTCATATGAGCTAGCTTGTTAATGTTTTTTCAGGGCATTCATTTTATCCCTGAGGTAGTATAGCTTTGCTCTCCTCACTTTTTTCTTGTCCAGCACCTTCATCTCCTTTATGTTGGGCGAGTACCTGCAAATCATCGAGTCACTTACAAAAGATTAGGAGTCCAATCTTGTGAAAGCTCTGAAACCAAATCATGGAGCACCTCTGATAATTGCGACTGTGAGAGATATTCACATATTTGCAGAAATCTAGTGTCAATTATGCATAGCTAAAAATATTTAGATGTAAATTGTGCAAGTCTTTCTAAATATAACTGAAAATAAGGGGTGCACTATGAGTTTAATGGGAAAAAAAGTGTAGATCTCAAAAAGGAGGAGAGGAGGTGGGGGCCTCACGCAGAGGCGAAGTCATGATTTTAATTTTATGGGTTCTGTTGACAACTTCAAGTACTAATAACTGGGTTCTACATTTAATATTTGTAAATATTTAATGAAATTTTTAACACAAATACATTGTCTGAGCAAAAGCTAATGGGCTCGGCCAAACCCGTACTCGGGCTCCTAGCTCCGCCCCTAGCCTCATGGTTCAAGCATTACGCAAAAAGCATAAGAGTTAAGTTAAACCCACTTGGACAAACACAAACAGGACGAAAAAAGACATGATGAAACATACATAAGGAATAAAGTAAGAAAAGTAACTGCTGCTACTTGCATGCTAACCTTCTGGTAAAGGCCATACTAGCTCTGATCACCATTTACTACCAGCCACATATTTTAAATGTAGTTATGATATAACAGAAAGCACCATTATGGTTTCTTCTAAAGAAAATGTTTAGGCACCTAAATTACCAAATGCTAAGACACTCAACAGTGAAAGCTTCTTTCCTCTTGGGTCTCACCATCTCCTACAGAGCAAATGAAATCTCCAGATTAAACTATCTCTCCAGGTAGAACTGACCCATCATGTTATCAACACTCTGTCCGCCGTCTACTTACCGTGGCAGACAGATTGTAACAGGAATTGTGCCAAATAAAAGTCATTTGTACTGAAGTGCACAAATTAAGATCAATTATAATATCAGCAAAGGATCATTCCACGATGCCATGCCAGCATCGATTATTATTAGAAAGCATCCCGCTTGTGGGTTCTCTACCATATCACCTCTTACAGCAATAACATCAATCAGGTTGAAGCAGAGGATCACTGTTGAAACTTAGATTTGCTCAACAGTGCAATAACATAAGGAAATAGCATCATAACCTAAACCAAGCAACTGCAGGAATTAAGTGACAACCAAAAGAGCATTCATTTAAGAATGTGACAAACACATAAACAAGCAGATGAGGACTTACAGATGAAATAGGTTTTCAACCCCAACTCCAGCCACAAGTCTTCTTAATCTGAATGTAGTATTTAAACCTGCATTGCGCCTTGCTATCACTATGCCTTTGACAATTGAAACACGTCTCTTGTTCTCCGGCACTTCCTGCAATATAGCCATCACCATACCACCAGCAGAACATCAATTTTCCTTTTTCTTTTTCCTAAGTAATATACTATTTTTTAAAAGGAGCAAGCACACATGAAAAATATATGCAGGACTTTCTTTCTAGAAAATCAGTCCAATCATACAATACATGTTGGAGGACCATTTGGTCAATTCATGTTGTTAAATAGGAATTGAAAAATAAGACATGATCCATTTTAACAGAAGCTTCTGTACCACTTTGAGCTGGACAATATAACCAGGCTTTATATCAGGTATCGGACTCCGTGCCTTTACTTCTTCAACAGCTTCTTTGTCAAGAATCTACATCGTAATAGAAATAGGACATTCATTAGACATTGAGGATATCTGAAGTCTCTTAAATTTTAACAAAAGGAAAAAAGGGCAAGAAAATAAACCAAAGAGACAAAGGAAACTATAATTTTTAGGAAAAGGCCCTATCTTCTATACCTGCATTATATGTGCTGCTGTTTTATCAAGCCTCTTAAATTTGATACGTGGAGTTGCCAAAGAAGAAGAAGCATCTTCAGGAACTTTGTCAACTGAAGTAGCACCCGTTGTGAGGAACCTCCTAGGGAAGTTTGGGACCATGGTAGTGTCTTGTGATAAACATGATCTAGAAACCTTGTAAGGTGATGCCAGCGACTCTTGGGAGTAATGCTTAGAGTGAACAGACAAGTTCAATCTGGACTCGAAGTTCTGACAGAGGTTGCAAGTTCAACAAATTAGTTATCAGAAGAGAAAAATATTAATTTTATATAATGCTAAAACAGTATTGCTTCATGCCTGTACAGAAAAGAACCACCATAACATGTAACATTTAATATATTCCTTCCATTCAAATTTGACAATGCAAAAGGCATGCAGGTCCATACTCCAAAAACCACAACATGTCCTTATAGAGCTTAGTGGCAATGTACACAACATACATCTTCAAATCACTTCATATAGAATATACTGAGATTCAAGCATGTCTGCATGTGCACATATAGAGCTTAGAAACATTCTAGATTTCTAGCACAACTCATACAGCTTTTAGCCAATCCACATCGTCATTAAATCATAGGTACTTAACAGACTCCAAAAGTTCAATGAAAACACCTTTTTGTCAATAATATCAAAAAGGAATTATCAAAACAATAAATATAACTACAGTATGCTGGAACAAATAAGAACAGGGTTTTATGACCTCAGAAAAAGATCCTGTTCAACATGGCAACTCTGAAGCTCTCTTGGTTCTCTTGGCTTGATGCAGCACTCGAAAGAAGTGCCCCACCTCGTTTTGCATTGCAGGGTTACAAGGCAGTTATGGGACATGTCTTGGAAATATTTGGCATGTGGTGGACCATAACAAGCTCAATTTTAGTCTTGTAGCAATGCTGGAATAGAGAGGGGCTATGCAAGAAATCTTAAAACACTATACCTCAGACAATTTGGTGGATTGTTTGGCTTGAAATAAATAGCAAATATTGTTTTAAGCAATAGAAGAAACATACATAGCCTTAAACATAGATGTATTTTTTTGCTAGTTTTCTGGTGCAACTCAGTTATAGAAACAATAGGAGACTTGCACAAATTTGAAATTATGCCTGATGCACTGACTTAGTGCAAGTATTGATAAAATCTCAGTATTACTATTACACAAATCGATAGATATCTCTTGTATGTCAGTCATTCACATTTAGGACGACACTAACGATCAAATACGAGTAACAAGCAGACATCATTCAAGATTTTCTTCAACAACACACGCCAGACGCCCAACACATTGTTCATTGTAATCTAATAGTCAATATCGAAAAAATTAGGAAGATGAGAGTGATAAGAACTTACTCCGAGCTCGACTTCCTTCTTTGTAGAAGCATTACCTAATTTACAAAATCCAAATAAAAGAATTTCAACTCATTAGCATCCAATATAAAATCAATACATACAACCTCAAAACAAAAATTACAAAATCAGAGACAATCCAGGATATTATGTCTCCACAGCACCCACTATTTTGTGGCACACACACGTATTCAACTAATGAATGACAGTGAGGTAAAGATGTGAACAATACTAGCGTACCAAAATCAGAGCTAAAATGCCGAAGATATAGACCAACGGAGGGACGAAAGATCTCCGAAATTGGAGATGAAGACGAAACAGAAGCAGTGACGAAAAGCTTGCATTTTGGAGGGGACAGGGATGGAGTTAGCGTTCGGAGCTGCGAAGAGAGTCTTCTCCACATTTCTTCAGCGCTCTGATGCTTCTAGGGTTTTTAGAGAGGTGATGGAATTCGAATACAGAGTCGCTTGCGATTGCCGCCGGTAGAGCGGCGGAGGATGGCGGCGTGTGCTGAAACTGAAAGCGTGTGTGTGGGTTCAGATTTCAGAAGCAGTAGCAATTTGGGTTTTAACGCGAATATTTTTGTCAAAAAGTTTCTCAAAAATAAATCAAATAATTTTCTCGAAATTATTTTTTAAAAACTAGTAGTAGGTATAATTTTTCGAGAATTAATTCCTAGTCCAAATGCAGGTACAATAATTTATTCACAACTAGGGTTAGGTTATTTTTTGTCAGATAAATTAAACCGAAATCATATTTATAGATATTTCACGGACCAACTTAATATGACTACTATAAGAATTATAATGATGCACAAATTATCAGAATATTATCTTTGATATCTAATGCCTGTTTTTTTTTAATCATTCAAAACATGTATTTAGTTTTAATTTTGAGTGTTTATTTCCGTATACTCTTGGCTATATTCTAAGTTAACCAATCTTATGTTTACTTTTTATGGGATGTGATTAAAAGTAGTTGGTGTCATAATTAAAAAGCTATTTATCTATTAAAGAATCTTTTAAAAGAAAACTTAAAGTTAAGTGTGCTAAAAGTTGATTAAACAAATAAATAATTTAAGTCTTCAGTTCCTTTTTTAAACATGAATTTCATTTATGGCTTTTCTTATAATTTTGAAATCAGTACTACTCCATATAATAAAAATGTTTAGAAGCAAACGAGAGTTAATAAGTCATACTCCACATTTTATGAAGTAGGATCCTACGTACATAATATTTCTTATTAGTGTTACACAAGTATATAACAAACAATATCACATGTAAAATACATAAAAATCATTGACATGCAACTTTACAAAGTTAAATAAGATCATCAACACATATATAGAAAATATATATATATATATATATATATATATATATTGGATATCCCTTATTTAAAAAATGAGAATTTTATTCTTGTAGTTACAGCGAGTGACAATCCATAATTCATTCTAAAAACCTAATAGTACAGTCTATCAATTTCAATTCAAAAGTTTTTTTATAGCAAACATGTTTAATGACCTAATAATTCTCATCGAGGCATTGATTCAATGGTTGATATGAAATTTTGATACTTATGTCATGAGTTGAGAGTGTGTTCTAAAATATATATTTAACTCGATCTATACTTAGATTTTTTGCATATATATACAAGATTCAACTCTAAACATAATAGAGTTATGCCAAATTCGCGAATATATGGCTCAATCAGCTAATTGAACATTGCCTGGAGCCGAAACAAGGAAAGGACGATTTTTTCTAGTATATTCTGTTATATTCGATATATTAGATTAGTATTAGTTAGTGATTAGGTGAAATATGCAAAAAAATTGAAAGTTTAGTGTTGATATAATTTGACTGGTATTCATGTTTCAAATAAAATAAAATTTAAAAAAAGAAAGTGAAATTTGGATTTAGGCTTGGTTGTTTGGTTCGGGTCGATTTAGGCTTATATCTGGTTAGCTTTTATTTTGACATAATGCAAAATTATGCACAAAAATTAATTTATCAAAATTATATGCCAAAATTAAGATGTAAAATTAATATTATAAAGATATTACATAAATATAATTAGATATATATAATATAATAGATTAAACGGTTAAATAATAAAATAATAGGGAATAGTGATGGAGTTGATGAATAGTGTCACTCCAAACACTGTTCGGCCTCCAAAATAGAGGCAAATTTGCAGTTGGCTTAGAGCAAAATTTCTCCATTTTTGGCTCCAAAATGGAGTTTGGAGGTAAAAATGGAGGTTGGTTGGAGATGGCCTAAATAAGTCCAACTTCTCCTGCTTTTTTTTGAAAAAAAAAAAAACTTTTAACCGTCCAGTATCTGAAGCTTGCTCGCTTATTAATTTGAACTAGTATTTGTACCCGCGCATTGTCCGAAGAATATTAAATATATTATTTCATACAAAAATATTACTTTAAAAATACGATAGACAAAAAAGAGCTTGCAAATACTATTATTGTATGAACATGTAAATGCGTGTCAGTATACATATGAAATAGTGAATTGCATCACAAAGCCTTATAGCAACTCTAGGGAATCTATACAATTTACTGTTTTCACAGAGGTCTCTCAAATGGTGTTTGACTATACAATATAATCCAATGGCAAGTCACTCCACTGTCATAATGTACTTTGATATTATTTTCTCATAAAAATCGTCTTCTTTATTCAGTTGCTCAACTGCTCTCTGTGCCATCTGTAAAAGAAAGCGAGAGTATTAATGGTAGTTGTTAAACTTTGTATGAAATTTTTAAACACAATTGTAGAAGAAACTTTGTGTTATAGTTTCATAGTATAAGTACAAATTATCATGAAAAAAAATGATTATCCTACGTTCACATTCACATGCTTATAAGAAGTCCTAATAAAATTTAAATTTTTAGAAAAGCTATGCATTATTCTTTTAAACTGCAAAAGTTTCCTAAAATCAACTTATCTCCTTTTTACTAACCGATGCAATCAGAGTGTCAATATTTCTACTAAAATCCGAAATACCGTAAAGTGAAACAAAAGTAGAACCAAGAAAATGCTCCTCTAAGGGTTGCCCCGAGATCATAAGCAAAAATCTGGAAAATAGTAGAAAAATTATAATGTTCATATGTGGTTAACATTGTTTAGAAAAATACAGCACACATACACCACTTGCAAAGGTTTTTCTAACCATTTTTAAAACATATAATTATATTATTTCTTATGAGAACTTTAGCTAACAGATCATACCATTTTCTGTAGAAAGTTAGCATAAATTATGCAAAACTTTTCACAGCAGGTAGACACTTTATCCTAATTCTCAAGCTGTTTTTTCTTTCCTTTTTTTCTTAGTTGGATGTTTAGCGCCAAATTAGTAAAAGTTACTCATCAATAGATAAACATCAAACATCCAATTACAGTTCTAACTCAACCCATATACTTTATGTAATATTTTTCTATCCTCTCACAATTAATAAGGACAAAAAATTCTTCTGAATAATTAAATTAAACAATTACCTGAGCGTGACGAACAACACGGTTTAGTCCTCTTTCCTGAATCATCGCAATCCCAAAAATCCAATTGTTAACAACTAATTGAACTTCTCCAATACTATAAAGCTTAAGCCGGAGAAGTAAATTGTAGTTAAAGTGGATGGTCCCACCAATCGAGTTTTCAATTAAGAGTACAGCTTTGTTTCAATACCATATTTCAAGTGCCTGAGAAATGAGGAGTAAAAATATAAAGGTGTGACAAATAGAAAATTTTCTTCAGGAACAATTCAACTGCCTAAGAAATAAGAAGTAATATCAATGTAATTCGCACAAAGTGACATACAGTTATAACTATTGAGGAATAGGAGGAGAATGTACCACAAAAATAGAAGAAAGCTTTGTCGAATAATGGAGGAGATCAAGTCGGACTTCTGCCATCATATGTCATGGTCAAAATAGCACGGAGATATTACTAACCGTTTCTATGGACCGACACAATCAAACTGAAACAAATTCCCAAACGCAATCAAATTGCTGCTACAAAGTACTAGTATTTTAATTTATTAGTTATCTATAACAAAACATATATATCACAGGATATTAAGTCTTTGAATTGTACGTTGATAGTTAATCTTAATTTCACTAACATATTCCTTCAATTAGTTAGCAGTCTATGAACTTATAGCCACATTATTATTTCTCCTTCAACTAACAATTCCCACAATCAAGCAAGTAAAACTACAAAGATCAGCCCCAACCATAAGTATTGCAATAATATTTTCAAAAGTTAGTCTAAATAATTTTATTAAAAAATTAAATTTTCACATTGTTGCATTAATCTTTTTATGCCAAGATCAGCAACAAAAACTTACTTCATAAGGTCTGAAAATACGTTACAATCTTAGTACAGAACCAACAATACTAAAATAGTTAATTTGAAGTTAATAAATATTAGTAAATAAATATGAACCTCATTGCGACTTGTATTGATGATTTCTTTCATCCGTGAAACCTCTAAAAATGAAAAATATTGGTATTCACAAATTACTTGACTTCGTGGGATTGATCTTCACTTTGAGGCTAGCAGACGTAACTGTCTCATCATGAGTAGATGATTTGAACGCAAGAACCTTAATGTTAGTGGCCTTACTGAACAAAATTTCGAGAACATTGAATGAAGTCTTTGTTTATCATTGTTAAAGGTGAAGCAAAGACTCAAGGGATTACCTCATTATTGGGAAGCCACCTGGAGAATTGACTTTCAGTTGAATAACTTTGACATTGAATAATTTTTATCATCCGCAATTTCATGATATGAATATGCAGAGGCCGAACTAGGATTTAAAGTGTACGAGTTCTAAATTTTAAGATAAGACCATGACCTAAAACTAGTTTTTATTTCTTAGTTAGTTACGTTTTTTTTTTTAAAAAAACAAAAAAAAGAAGAAAAGTGACAGAAAAATTCACTACTTTCAAGAGAATTGAACCCAGGCATTTTCCTTGGAACCCCAAACCTTTGCCACTGAACCCAAACCCCTTTTGTTAATGGGTTCGGTGTGCATTGTTTATATACATAAAATGAATATTTCAACACAAATACAGGGTTCGGAAAAAAGTTACTGGGTTCGCCCGAACCCGCACACTCTACTGTAGCTCCGCCCTTGTGGATATGAAATCTCCTGATATTTCAAGTGCACCATGGTAGCTTGATAGTAAACTCAAACTGTAACTCTGTATAAGTGCGAGCGGAAAAAAATGGAAGCGTTAAAACAAAAAATACTACGGTATTAAAAAAGAGACGATGCACCGGCAATATAATTTTTACTGTCATAAGCGTAAAGTTGTTAAAAGCATAATGACAGAAAAATAAGATTGAGTTCAAAATAATGTGTATGAATTTATAGAGAATTTTAACCTAATTTTTTGTATATAATGTAGTTGAAGAAGTCCTCTTTCCAACGGCATAAGTGGATCATGGTTTCGACGTGCACAATTGTGAAACCAACTTTAAGAAATAGAAAGAGAAATATTTAAACTACACATAATCGTTTCATATATGAGCTAAGTTTCGTTATGTTCTTCCTAACCATC